TAGGTGTCTTACCTATCCTCACCCCTCCCTTGTGTGCTCTTGCTTTTATCATGTGCTCAAAGTCCAATCCCCTTGTTGTGTTTGCTTGTGATCTAATATCCACATATGAGGGAGAACATACGATTTTTGGTCTTTTGGGCCAGGCTAACCTCACTCAGAATGATGTTCTCCAATTCCATCCATTTACCAGCGAATGATAACATTTCGTTCTTCTTCATGGCTGCATAAAATTCCATTGTGTATAGATACCACATTTTCTTAATCCATTCACAGTGGTGGGGCATCTTGGCTGTTTCCATAACTTGGCTATTGTGAATAGTGCTGCAATAAACATGGGTGTGCAGGTGCCTCTGGAGTAACCTGTCACAGTCTTTTGGGTATATCCCCAAGAGTGGTATTGCTGGATCAAATGGTAGATCGATGTCTAGCTTTTTAAGTAGCCTCCAAATTTTTTCCAGAGTGGTTGTACTAGTTACATTCCCACCAACAGTGTAAGAGGGTTCCTTTTTCCCCATCCTCGCCAACACCTGTTGTTGGTGGTGTTGCTGATGATGGCTATTCTAACAGGGGTGAGGTGGAATCTTAGTGTGGTTTTAATTTGCATTTCCTTTATTGCTAGAGATGGTGAGCATTTTTTCATGTGTTTTTTGGCCATTTGAATTTCTTCTTTTGAGAAAGTTCTGTTTAGTTCACTTGCCCATTTCTTTATTGGTTCATTAGTTTGGGAGAATTTAGTTTTTTAAGTTCCCTAATATTCTGGTTATCAGTCCTTTGTCTGATGTATAGTTGGCAAATATTTTCTCCCACTCTGTGGGTGTTCTCTTCATTTAGAGACCATTTCTTTTGATGAACAGAAGCTTTTTAGCTTTATGAGGTCCCATTTATCTATGCTATCTCTTAGTTGCTGTGCTGCTGGGGTTTCATTGAGAAAGTTCTTACCTATACCTACTAACTCCAGAGTATTTCCTACTCTTTCCTGTATCAACTTTAGAGTTTGTGGTCTGATATTAAGATCCTTGATCCATTTTGAGTTAATCTTGGTATAGGGTGATATACATGGATCTAGTTTCAGTTTTTTGCAGACTGCTATCCAGTTTTCCCAGCAGTTTTTGTTGAAGTGGCTGCTATTTCTCCATCGTATATTTTTAGCTCCTTTGTCAAAGACAAGTTGGTTATAGTTGTGTGGCTTCATATCTGGGTCCTCTATTCTGTTCCACCGGTCTTCATGTCTGTTTTTGTGCCAGTACCATGCTGTTTTTATTGTTATTGCTTTGTAATATTGTTTGAAGTCAGGTATTGTGATACCTCCTGCATTGTTCTTTTGACTGAGTATTGCCTTGGCTATTCGTGGCAACACTGAGCTTTTTTAATGTTAGCACTTTGTGGGAATTGAGCCTAGAGAAATATTTTAGTCATATCAAAGATGGGGATTCATTGGAAAATAAAGATATAAGTGAAAGAAGAAGAGGAGCATCAAGTCTGGACCAGTGATGAGATTGGAGGGTGTCTGAATCAAAAATCTTGATTAAAGCCACCTGGAACTCTGAGGTCCGTTTTTAAAAGTGACCTCCTTATTTCCTTTAAGGAAGTGAACTTATAGCAGATATTCAGAATATTCAGGTATTTTGATCAGGAGTATATGCATTTTATGGATATATAGACTGAATTTTTATGAGTAATTTAATGCATGAGTAAAGAAATATATTAATTGATAAACATTAAGAGAGAAGGTGTGGACCAATTATGAAGAGTAGCATTAATTATTACGGTACACTTATGTAGCACTGAATCCCAGTGGCCTGTGTTGATGAAAGTGCCCCTGTCTGAAAGGCGTATGTGACAGATATATGTAAAACTCAGGACTGTCATTTGATGGAGGTAGTTGTTTGCTGATTGTTTTATTATTAGAGAAAGGACATTATGTAAATAGTTGACTAAGTAGTTATTTGAGAAAAAGAATGAGCACAGTTCATCCAATTTTGAATTTTATTTAAGAATAAACATGTGTTTTCCAATTTAATTGCTTTTATTAATGTGAATTAATTATGTTGTCATTGGCATACAGTGTGATACTCCCAATTCATTCATCTAGTTTTTAAATTTCCACAAGCAATTGAATGAACGTGGGGATGTAAAACTATTATTAGACAATTACAGTCAATGGCATTAGACAAGGGTCTTCTCTAATGGTAGTTATTATCTATATATTGATGAACTGTTACATGTGTAAAATAATATGTGTCCTTATTACAATTAAGACTCTAAAAGTGGGTAGAACATAGACCAGAAAGAAGGGAGAATAATGGTCTCTTCCTTGTTTGGATATGGGACTATAGACATTTGAACATGAAAATCATTTCTGTTCAGGGTCATTTCTCAGGTCTCTCTCTCTCTGTCTCTCTCTCTCTCTGATCAAGTACCCCATGAGTCATTCTATAAATGAATGACAAAATTAATCTATCACTAGGATCAAACAAACCATTGGTGAAAATAATTCACAAATCATGAGTAAATTCATCCATTTATTCACAAACCATCCACTAAAAAAAGATTACCTAAGATCTTGCTTCTGTGGGAATGGGTTCTGGTCTACAGGCAGATGTGTAGAATATTCGTAGTTCTTGTTTTTTGAGTGATGAATTTTACAGGGTTCATTGTATTATTTAAAATTAATAAACAAACATAAATAAATAGTCCCATTCTTGGACCCTTGATATAAAAGGCACTTGAACAGTCTTTATGATTAATCTAATACCCAATTAATGTCTTTTAAAATGATCTAAATCTGTACTATTTATTCTTTTAAAAATTGTTACTTGAACTACAGAATAAGGACCATGACTGGTTTAATAATCTCTGCTGATGAAGATCCTGGCTATTACTTTATGGGTAAGACATCTAATGACTAATGCAAATCATAGTCAAAGATTCTGCTATTTGGGACCAATTTCTTATTATTGTCCATTGAATTATTTAAATTAAGCCATATATCGATCAATGATATGAATGCATTATGAAACAATTATGATATTCCAGCTAGGCACAATAGTGGTTAGAACTTGAGCTCAAAGACATTCTACTCATTTTCAGAATTGCCTAATAATTCATCTCATCTTTGCCCTGCATTTAACTTAAAACTTATCCAGTAATAAAATCTAGCACTGCATGTCCAATGTGGTTGCCTCTATCTGTAGGTGGCTATTTATACTTAAAATAATTATGGTTAAATGAATTTTCCTATTGTTTGTCAGAGGCAATAAGCCATATTTCAAGCACTTAGTGGTTACCTGCAGTTCTGCAGAACCATATTGGGAAATGCAGTTAGTAGCACATGTACATTAGCAAACAAAGTGTTATTAGACAGCTCCTTAGTGAGGAAGGAGCACACTTGGAGATTGAAAAGTACAGGTGTGGGATGGCTAAGAAGCAAAGATGTCAATCGATCCATCTATGCTTCACTGAGGGCCACTGTAAAAAGAGATGCAGTCTATTGGGAAAAGGTCTTATCTGTAAGAGAAGAGCCTATAAACAGTTTTCATTTATATTCAAGGTTCTTATTCTTGGGTGGTTTATTTTTTTAATTCATGAGTATTGATTTTATTGCTGCAAGCAAAGCAATGCATGAATCAATAAACAAAGGTAGAAATGAAGAAAAAGATTGCTTATCCTGGATCAATGATGAGTACCCTGGGGTGTCTGAATGGAGGATTTTGATTAAACCCTATAACTCTGAGGTCCATTATAAAAAGATTTCTATGTATTGTCTCTATGGGATATAAGCTTATTCTAGGAGTTAAAAAAATATTTGTTGTATTTTTGGGGCTTCCAAGTTTGCACTGTCTTCTTTTCAGTAAAGCAGCGCATCAATAAATTGAGAAACCAGTAAATGAATACAGACAAAATAGCGTATTCCTGGTCCAAACATTAGAGTATTTAATGCAATAAGAATCATTACTAATACATTTATGAAGCACTGAATTTCAGTAATATGAATTGATCAAAGTTGACCCTTCTGCATAAGGAGCACTCAGAAAAATAGATGTTAGAATCTTTGCTATTAATTCTGAGTTAGTGTGTTTGGTTTTGGTTTGTTAAGAAAAGGACAAATTAATTTCTTTAAATTAATTATCAATTAAATATAAACTTTAATGAGAGAGGGATTACACATGGATCTAGTTTGAGAACGTGTCACATGACCAGTTGTGATTAATGTAGCCTCACTAGTTTACATTCGTCTACTCTGTTGACTGTGAAAAAAACAAAACCAACAAAAGCAAACCGAACTGACCATTTTTGTGTGTCTTATGAGCATAGGTAGGCATTAATATTTTCCAGTTCCTGTAGAATCACAGATAAGATGGTATTATCATAAATGTAAAAAGCAGTAAGTTAATGTGTCAGTCAGTTAAGGAAGGTAAAGTATGGGCCAGTGAGGCCCCTTGCTGAGGAACAGGTGGTGACTGATGCAACTGTTTTTCTGTGGAGCAGAGATGCTGACATTTTTGGAATTGTGATTATATTCATATATTTAGTCAGAATTTCCATTTTTGGCTTGTCAGTGCAGTTTCCTTAATATGAAAGAGATAGATGACTCCACGTGCAACTACATAACTTCATATGTATTAACGTACATGTGGACAGTTGTTGGAAATTTGTTTGAATTCCTCCTACCAAGATTCATCCAGAAGAGTTAGCTCTTACCTGGTGGTGTAGGGGATATCACAACAGACAGACATATGTAGTAGTCATGGCTATTATTCTTTCATCTGGGGTTCATTATAGTAAATGTAATACTAAAATCAATCAATCAATCAATCAATCAGTGGGTATACATACCATTAAGGTTTAAAAGTCTGAGAAGCACCCATGTTCATTCCTAATCAATTATTGTTGACTTGGACTCAATCTCAGAAATCTGAATATAGATTGAGCTGTCTCTCTGTCTGTTCACCCATCTAATCTATGTTTATATTTGCTTTGTACTCCACAGAAGGGATGCACAATAACACAGCCAGTCTGCCATGAGGAGGATATTGGTGGTTCACTTTTTGAGTAATGGGTGTTGAAATCTAGGTAAGTGACAAAATAATTGCTTCTTGTTTCATGGTTTGTCATGGATGTTTGCTCAATTATTGAAAGGAAGTTAATGGGTTCATATAAAATCAAAATGAATGAAGGGCATGTGGACCAACTCAGAACATTTATGGCCTATTAATGAGAAAAAGGCAAGACCATTTTATTTTCATAGCTAATTTACTCAGTTAATTAATTGATGAATGTTTTATTTTGAGTGACAGTGTGGAGTAAAATGGAGAATTCATTCTTATTTTGTCATATCTTAAAAAATATGGGCAAAGTAAAAAAGATGATCAAGTCTTATCAATTAAGAGTGTGGGACTGAGATGAGTTGAGGGTGGCTGTTTATCTACTTACCTGCCGTAGCACTCAGGGAAGTTTTATTGCTTTTCTGGGTATCGGTAAAATTATAAGTGTGTCTAGATACTATTGTATACATGTGAATTAATATTCTAGTGTATAAATGAAAGAAGAAAAGGATCTACTTTAGGAGTATATAGTAAAATAATAATTTTTTTTCTGAAGCACTGGGATCCATTAAAAATAAATAAAGCACATTACTCCTTTCAACAAGATGCTTATGGATAGGTTTTTGTGTTAGACATTGTGTTTGTTCTAGTTATAGGGTGATTTGGTAGTTTAATGAAAGAACATTAAATAAATAAATAAATAACCTAATGACTAAACAAAGATAACCAAACAGGGGCCAATAAGAAGGTTGCATTTTAGAACAACACAAAAAATATTCAGGCTTCTTTTGGCTTTGGGTACTGTTTGTTTTTGTTTTTGAGACAGGTTCTCACTACATAGTCCAGGTTGTTTGAAAGCTCACAATCTTCCAGCCTTGGCCTCTTATGTGCTGGGCATATATACCATGGCCAGCTCTGTTTTGGGTATTGTATATGTGGGCAGATACACTTGGTACATTTTAGTTCTGCATTACTGGTTTGTTTACCCATTCATTTTTCTTTAGAAATACATTATTAAATTAATCCAGGAGGAAGCACATGTACAAATATGTATATTCAGATGTTTATAGACTTACACATATAAGGGTTATCTTGCCCTATTGATGAGACTATTCTGTGAGGCAGTCATTTAGATTAATATGGTTTAAATGCATGCCATTTAAAAAGTAGATACAAATTGTTACCTAAATGAAGAAGAGGCATGGAAATAACTGTCTTTACTGATGTAATTAATTGTATATACTATACAATTAAAAATTAAAAATTTGAGTTCATAACTCAATCGGAAGCCAGTGACAAAACCATTTATGTTCCAAGTGCTTCAATTAATTGAATAACACATGACACCTATTATATAAAGAAAACAAGTCACAGTGGTTTCAGTCTACTTAACATGTGTTTTGTATGTCACATAATGAATGCATGCGTAAGTTAATCATCCAGTGATAAAGTTTTGAGGTTGCCTATGTGGACAGGAAGTGCATAGTCTAAAATGAAGAGCTGTCTTAAGTTCTTACATTTAATAATAAGGTATTTTTAAATTAGATTTTGAGTTAATGAATTGTGATTCTGATTTTATAAAATGATTACAGAACCAATAAATCAATATATAAATAAAAGGAAGACAGTGAGGTATTACCGAACTATGAATATATGTGGTGAGGCAAGAAATGGTATTCTTAAACAAAATCTTAAAATTTTGATTCAAATAGTGAATCAATTATGCTTACTCTTTGTCTTAAGATCTGAAAGACAGCAAATATAAGTAACAGTATTAATCTGGCTCAGGTCATGTATGACATTGTTAAGATATATATAGCTGCTACCACAGATTAATAAATACCTAAAGTGAAAGGCTGTATAAACCTAATTTAGATAAATCATCAGTTTTTTTACCACCTGCTCTGTTCTGTACTCCTTAGAATTAATGGCTCATCTGATTCAAGCCCTGTGTCATGACTCCATACTCATCTCTGTGTTGGTTTGAAGACTTCTGTAAGTAATAACTCAAACTTTTATTTTTTGTCTTGATTTCTTTAAGTAGATTCATCTGTGTTACAACATAGTGTATAATACAGACAAATGAGGACAATCAATATTCTTAAGAATAAAATTACTCTTATGCTGTTCCTGTTCATATTATTATTGATGAGTCAATGAGTTGATTAATATACATATAGAAATTAATGGAGAAATGAGGGTCAATGCTGGATCAATGATGATCACTGGTGGCGTATGAGTCACGGACGATGACTACAGCTCTGGAAGTCTGAGGTCCATGCTGGAAGATATCTAGTGTATTCCTGTGATCCTAGGGATAGATGTTAGGGTGGCCAAGCACATCTTGGCCTTAGCTCATTCATTTTCATTTCATTTTTATAGTTGGACCAATGAAAATATGTAAAAGAGATACATAAATATATAGGCAAATGAAGACATATGTAAATATATAAATAAATGAAGAAAAAGTAGATGAGATATTGACCAATTATGAAAATGAATTTTCAAATGAATATTTGACAATATACTATTAATATATGAAAAACATGAAACCCCATTAAGAAATTAATAGATGTGGGCTAGAAGAATTGCTCAAGGTTCAGAGCACTTGTTAAGGCCCTGTGTTCAAAATCCAGTACTGCTGTGCATCACCCTTCTCCCCCAAAAAAGAGAAAAATGAGTTAAAGCTGTTACAACTTTGGCTGAGAATGGTATCTACAGGAGAAATTAATAACTGAAGTCCTTGTTATAGTGAGGACATGTTCAATGTTGTTTCATAATATTTGTCTCCTATTTAATAAATAAGGAAATGAAAGGAGAAATGAAAAAATTGGACAGAATATCCATAATTTTGCTATCTGTTCTGTTTTGTACTCTCAGAATGGATGCTCATAAGCTGATTCAAGCTTTCTTCTCTGGTCATGAGGTCTGAGAATGTCCCATGTGTTAGGGGCATAGAGACAAATGTGAGTATAGTTAAACTTCTTATTTTAGTCTGGGTGTTCACTGTGCTCATAAAGGCTTTACATATAATCCAAGGATGCCACCTATGGCAGAATGATAAATATGGCATGCCCATGAAACATTAGGTTAATTAACCAATATTTGCAAATTAAGAGTAAGAAAAGAGATAAACTCAATGTGGCGAAAGATCCAGTAGGTAGCTACAAATTATACTTAAGAATCTTTTTCTCAGTTGTTTGTGATTCATAGACATCTAAATATTAGTAGTGAAGGGATGAACAGGGCAATAAACAGATACAGAAGTAAATGGAGAGTAGGAGGGCTAACGTTGGATTGATGATGACCACTGGTGGTGTATAAGTCATGGATTGTGACTATAGGTCTGGAAGTCTGAGGTCCATAACATAAGATATCGAGTATCTGTGATACTATGGAGAGATGTTAGGAATAGTCAAGAATGTTATTGTTGGTGCTTGTGTTCATGAATTCTAATTTTTAGAATTAGATAAAAATTTACTCAAAATAAAGTGGGTGAGCCAATTGTAATTATGAAAATAATGCAAAAGGAAGAAAGCTAATAACATATAGTACAAACACAGAAGTCCATTAAGACAGAATGGATCAGAGGTGTTATATCTTTGACTGAGGATTCTATTATCACTAAAATAATGCCCAAAATTCTTGTTAGGGTCAGAACCATGTCGATTGTATGTTTCTCAAAAAGAAAATATCATAATTTAACACTTAAATGAGTAATAAGATGAAAGTATACAAGGATAAATGGACTAAATATCATTCTTTTCACATTTGTTCTGCTTTCAACTCTCAGAATGGATGCTCCCCAGCTGGCTTAAGATTTCTTTCCTGTTTATGAGCTCTGAGATTCCCTCTGTGAGCACAGAGGAGAGAGACCAGTGTGAGTAGTCAGTGTTTTTGTCTTGGTTGTGTGGTTTTTAAAGGAATGTTCATTGTATTGGTAAAGGATATGAGGCCAAATATGGCTGTATGATAAACAAGGCATGGCCATTATACACTGTGTTAATTAGCCAATATTTACAAAATTAGGAACGAGAAAGGAAAGAGAAATCGTGTAGTTAAACATCCTGTAGTATACTTAAGGATCTTGGCCTAAGATATTTGTGAGTCATAATCATCTATATATTTTTACTGAAATGATGAATAAGACAATAAGCAAATGTAGAAACTAATGGAGATGAAGAGGCCAACGTTGGATTGATGATGACCACTGGTGGCGTATAAGTCACGGACGATGACTACAGCTCTGGAAGTCTGAGGTACATACTGCAAGACTTTTAGTGGATACCTTCTGGCTTTAGGGATAAATGTTAGAAGGAGGTTCTTCATGTTTGTGTGCATATATTTTCATTCTATTTTTTATAATTGCATCAATTAAATAAGTCTTACACAAATGTATAAATAAAAAGATGAGGTGGCTGAGCACTGTCCAATTATGAAATATATTCTGAGGCAAGCAATACTACTCATTTGTATGAAAACATGGATGCCCTTAAGAGATAAATGGCTCAAAAGTGTTTAATCCTTGGCTGAGGATTGTATATACAGTGAAAATGATGCCCTAAATCCTCTTTAGTCTCAGGGTGCAAATGTTCAGTGCTATTTATTTTCTCAAGAGAAAAATATTGTCATAGTTTAATTCCTACTTAAATGACTAATTAAGTGAAGAGAATGATATGAGAATGAATGGACAGAATACAAGTATTTCCATGATTTATTCTGCTTTGTATTCTCAGATGCATGCTGTAAGCTGATTTCATTCGTCTTTCCTAGTCACAAGCTCTATGTTGGACCTGTGTTTTAAGGACATAGGACCTCATGTGAGTATAGATTATATTTGTTTGATTGTTATATAAGATATATTCTTTATTGTAGAAAATGTTATAGACAATCCAAGAACATCAACCATGGTCCAGTGATAAATATGGCATAGCCTGGAAACATTCTGTTGAGTATATACTCAACGTGATAATGATCCTGTAAATAGGATCTTATTCTTAAGTACCAAATTATCTAGGTATCTAATTATAATTACATAAGTGTTTGAATAAGTCAAAAATCCATTGCAGAAATTAATAGAGTAGAGGAGGGCCAATGTTGGATCGATGATGACCACTGGTGGCGTCTGAGTCTTGTATCGTGACTACAGCTCTGGAAGTCTGAGGTCCACACCATAAGACATCAAGTGTTTAACTGGGATCCTAGGGAGAGATGTCAGGAATAGTTTTGATGTTCTTGGCATTCATGTTCATTTTATTTTTACAATTACATCAGCGGAAGAATCATTGCACAAATACATAAATAAATAGTGTGCTCCATAAACCAATGATGAATAGCAGTGTTTAACAGAAATGCTTTCAGTTGGGGCTGGAGATGGGATTCACTGGTTGAGTTCTTCCCTAGGAATGCAAAAGGCCCTGGGTTAATCCACAGCACCACCAACCCCCTGTTGCCAAATCAAACAAAGCAACAACAAAAATAATGACTAATAGTGACAAATTCCACTGAAAATATCTTTTAGAATTAAAAGCTCTGAATTTTAAAACATTGTTTGAAGATGGCATATACTGTAGAAATAATTGCTATAAGCTTGTTAGGGTCAGGGCCTTGTTCAATGTTGTTTGATTTCTTTTTAAGATTTTTTTTCAGCTGTAATGGAGTTTGAACTTAAGGGTTTGGGCTAGTTAGGCAGGCACTCTACCCCATGAACCACACCTTTACCTCCCAGTGTTGCTTGATTTCTTAAGAAAATAAATGTCCAAATTTAAGTTCTTAATGACTAATGAAATGAAAGGAGAAATTTAAAAGTAATTGGACAAAATATGAATATTTTTATAATCTGTTCTGCTTTGTACTCTCAGAATGACTGTGCATAGCTGATTGAAGCATTCTTCCCTGGTCACAAGTTCTATGAATGTCCTGTGTGTTAGGAGCATAGAAACCAATGTGAGTAGAGTCTTCTTATCTTTGGTTGGGTAATTATAAGAAGATTTTCCTTGACTTGGTAAAGGCATTACATATTATCCAAGGAGGCCAACTATGGCTTTGTCATAAATATGGGATAGTCATGAAACACTATGCTGATTAGTAAATATTTGCAAGTAAAGACCTAGTAAGAAAAGAGATAAATTCAAAACATCCAGCAGATAGCTGTAAAGTGTACCTAAGAATCTTGTTTCAGTTGTTTGTATTTTATACATATCTAAATATTATTAGTGATCATGGTGACTTAGCCAATAAACAAATGTAGAAATTAATGGAGGAGGGCCAATGTTGGATCACTGATGACCACTGTGGCATATGAGTCATGGATTGTGACTATAGATCTGGAAGCCTGAGGTCCACACCATAAGACATTGTGCATATACCTTCTGATCCTAGGACTAGATGTTAGGAACAGTTAAGAATATTACTTTGTTCTTTGTTTTAAAACATTTTCACTTGCTGTTTGCAACTAGATAAAAATATAAATAGCAATGAAGTTTGCGTGGCATTCTCTTATTTTAAAAATAATACCTGAGCAAGAAATACCAATGATATATGTCACAAACACAGAAATCCATTAAGACAGAAAGTATCAGAGATGTCTTTGATTGAGGATGCTATAATCACTAAAATAACGGCCAACTTTTTTGTTAGAGTCAGAACTGTGTTCAATGTGTGATTCTCAAGAAACCATAATAATTAAATTCACACTTAAATAAGTAAGAAGATGAAAGTATACAAAAAGTAATGGACAGAATGCCAATCTTTCTTATCTGCTCTGCTTCCAACTTTCAGAATGGGTATTTCCAAACTGGCTTATGCTTTCTTCCTCTGTTCAGAGAATAGAGACATGTGAGTGCTCAATGTTCTTGTCTTGGTTTGGGTGGTTTTTAAAGGATGTTCACTATATTTGTAAAAGTATTCTCTATTATATAACAAGAACAACCACAGTCAAATAGCATGACTATGAAACACTGTACTGCTTAATATAATTTTATAAAGTTAAGAATGAATAAGTGAAGAGAAATACTGTGTTTGGTAGGATATTCTATACAGAGCTCTGAAGTAAACTCAGCATCTTGGTCTTAGGTGCTCTGGATCATAGCTGTCTGCATGTTACTGCTAAAATGATGAATAAGACAATAATCAAATGTAGAAATTAATGGAGAAAGGAGGCCCAATGTTGGATCAATGATGACCACTGGTGGCGTATAAGTCATGGACGATGACTATAGCTCTGGAAGTCTGAGATCTACACAGAAAGACATCTAGTGGATACCTCTTGATTTCAGGGACAAACATTAGGAGTCAGGGGTGTTCTTAATGCTTGTGTTTATGAATTTTTATTTTATTTTCATAATTGGATCACTGAAAAAAATTTACACAAACAAATAAGTGTAGATAAATTGGGCGTGGCATTGAACAATTATGAAAATAAATGTTTAATAAGAAATATTTATATATGTGAAAAACATAGGAGCCTATTAAGAAACATATGACTCAAAGGTGTTACAACCTTGGCTGAAGATGACATATATTGGAGAAATTATGGCCTTAGTCTTTGTTAGGGTTCAGGCCAGGTGCAGTGGTGTTTGATTACTTAAGAAAAAATAATCACAGTATTTAATTTATACTGAAATGACTAAGGAAATGAGAGGGGGAAGGTAAGAATAAATGGACAGACTACCAATCTCTTTCTAATCTGTTTTGCTTTATATTCTCAGAATGTATGCATTCCAGCTGATTTACGCATTCTACACAGTCACATGGTCTGTGGTAGTTAGACCTGTGTGATACACCTAGAGAACAGGGTAAGTATTGTCAGTGCTCTTGAATTTGTTTGGGTATTATAAGGAAAAGATATTCCTGTATTGTTGAAAGCATAATGGATAATTCAAGAATTTCAACTAAGCTTCAATGATAAATGGGCTGTGGCCTGGAAACACTATATTAACT